ACTTAGGTAGACAAGAAGTTAGTTACCCAGTGGTTTAAGCAGGCCCTTGTTGATGTTCGGCCAATTAACTTCACTGTGTAGCAGCTGGCTTATGGATTCCTTTGATTAGTTTTGTGCTTGTGACACAGTTTATTACTGTCCTGTAGTAACACAGATTTAGCATGTTTTGTTAACGTTGGAATATAAATTTTGTTTATATGTGACTACCAGAACCTTGGTGAGCCTATTGAGGAGGTTACGGATTGTTCACCTCCGTTCAGACCAAAATACCTGTATGTGTAACGTCTCAGTCACGTTTCATGAAAAACCAATTCACAAATATTTATCATGTTTAATATGAATTCAGAGCGCTTTAATGAATTAATTCAGTTTGAGTTCAAAGACATTGAAGTATTCTTAATCTTATCGTCACATTTTGGCAGGTTCTAAACCACAGAAACACCATTGTCCAACACTCGCCGTTTCACTTAAATTTATTTGACCCTGTAAACTAGTAGGAGTAGTGGCAACATCTTGTCACAAAGGAAGTGCTAGGAAGGTACATGGCACAAAAATATACTTTATTGTGATATTAGTCATTACCTTTTGACTATTCCCACTTACGCCAATAAATGTGACCACAATCGATTAAAGCAGCTTGAAGATTGACTTGTTACCAGGGTACAGCCTCGTCAGTCAAATGATGCAGATGATAGTCCTTCTAGGTGAAGACTAACAAAATTCAGAGTCATACACACACTGAACAGATATCCAGGTATGTTTGGTGTGTAATTCGCCCTTGCCAAATATAAAATGGTACTGCTCACTGAGTTTTAACATAGAAATTTGCACCGAAGTGCAGTAGTTCAAGTTTTCACGCTCAATGTAGTACACAAAAGACAAACAGAAGTGGGATTTAGAAGAATTAGAATAAGCAGAAATGTGCGGCAGAAGGAATCGTAAAGTGGAAAATCATGACGCTTTTACTCCTGCACAGTACACACCTCTTGATTGACTGTTGCATGGATCGTCTTGGATATTGATGCCGTACGTTGACCGGTCCGCATTGAAACAAAATCTGCAGACTGAAAGTCAGTGTGTCCAGTCTCCTGGAGTATAGTGATTGTAAACTGAATATCTACTCAAACACAGCAGGTATTGTAGCACACACCAAAAGATGTCCTCACTGGTGTACACAGTATGCCATACCATCAGACAAGTTACGAAACCTACTGTGAGTCAGATTGTCGAGTCTTCGTTTTGGCCACGAAGTATTGGACGAAATCTTTTATCAGTTTACTCGGAGTAACTAAATAAAGGAGGTGATACAATAATTATTTCATCTACTTGAACATTAACAAGCCATTTTTACAGACATGGACATATGACAGGAAATGTAATGTGATTTGTTAACACAAATTTAGGTTGAACACTTGTTCACATTATAGAAATACTGATATAAGCACAAGTAACTAGATCACTAATTTCCGTTGAATGAAAATTTTACCTGCTGCATGTCAGCTTCACGCGGTATTTATAAATGATCACCTCATCAGGGGAGTAAGAATCATATTGACACAAAGGCGCTTAAAGTGAAAACATCAGGGTTGCAAAATTTACAGCAGTTATCAGATTATGAATGTGAAGGGTTCGGAAGTTCATGGGATTCTAAAGTTACTGGTAAATAGTTTGAAGGAGGTGTTCTCTCTTGATCAGATGAACCAACAATATTCTTAATATTTGCAAAAAATTGATTCTACTGATTTCAATGCTCCATTCGATTAGTACTAACGTGAAGGACAGCATCCCTGTACCACTTTCGTGGTTCAAGCTAGTACCTTTGAAAATAAAGGACTAAAGAAAGCCTCAAGAGGTATTCAGAAGTATCTGCCACGAGTTTTTAATTCAAAATAGACAACACACTGTGAACACAGAGTTAGTTTTTATTTTGTCGACTGGTTTTAGTAATGGAATTCTACGATCTCACGCACTATCGATTAGTTTAAGTGTATATTATAAAAAAAGGATAATTGTGCGTACCTACCTAGGGTAATGGTAAGTATAGGTTCTGAAAAGAAAGTTAAACCCAAAAGTTAGAGTTCACGAAATATTTAGGAAAAAGGCTAAAGCTTGATAATTTTACTTTTAATCTGATACATACAGTTAGGTACCTTTCTATAGCGCCAAACCCATACCACCTACTTTCACTCTGGAAGCTTGTACTTAAGCTGAGGCTTCCAGGAAGTTTTTGACTTCTGTTTTTCAAACTTTTCCTCTATGGAAATCATTGAAATTTAGGAGCCTTAGCACTGGAGCACTGCTCCAGAGATAAGAGTGATTCCCCTGTGCTCCCTAGCTCATACTCTGAATGGCAGTTACCACCCTCCTACCTTTTAATGTTCAAGTCCCTGGCCAAATGACCCTTCTGTATTAAAATGTGCCATGCAGTCTTTTTCACATATATTTGCGAATTCCCATTGAAATTCACGGTGTGAGCGACTACTTTCATCAGAGCAGCTCGTGTACGTCACCTGTTACGCCATTTTTAAGGAAAAATAATACAATTAGACGGTAATAGTCAAACTTTTGGTTATTGGTAAGCGGAAAGGAAGGGGCGATATTTGCCCAATGAGGACGAGAACATTCGTGGAGTAGGACTATTTCTGATTTCAACTGGAAGATGGCTCCGAACACGATGATATTTTATAGTTAGGAAATTAGATCTGTATTATATATGAAAATGGGGCACATTAAAAGGCGAAGATTTATTTTAGGTTGAACTTCATTCGTCTGATCAATAAAGGTTCCACGCCGAATATGTTACATCTGTATTAGTTAGAAATGCTGGGATTTACACCTGCAAACCTTTTAGGAAGCACCATACGTAGAATTTCTAATTTACACCTGTCTTTTATTGAGACATTTTACGGGATGGGGGGAAAGAATTCAAGTAAGAGTTCTATGCATAACACACAGCTGAATTTCAGATTTAGAAACCCTGAAATTTCAGAATGAAAAACCAAATATACTTTTGACTTTTGATACTTATAATTCAATATATTCTGTATAGCTAAATTCTAAAGAGTGTTTCAAACCAACATCTGTGAGCAGCAGGCAAGGAATGTGAATACTGTGTCGGCAGACGGCAAGTTGAGATGAATTGTTTTTGGAGAGGCGTACTGCATATTTTCCAACGTTAAACTTCATTTACGAAGCATAACACAACAACTAAAAGTTATCAAAACTATCTTGAATCCAATCAAAAAGTAGTGGACTGTGGGCACTACCCTGCAAAATCCCGGATGTCAAAGGAGAAGACAGGGATATGAGGGAACCTATTGTGAAAATCCGCAAGCAAACAAACTGAGCGAGTTCAAAAATTAACCATGAATCCCATGCGAAAAGACTTTCGATACTAACTGATGGTGGCTAATAGAGTCAAATGCTTAACAAAGATATAATTTAACAAATAGTCTGATCACACTGGAATCCGTAAATTATCAAACCTATTCCGAAAGCTGTAAATAGCATGACGTCCAAGAATGTGGATTCATGAAATGGTGCCGATAAGAAGTGATAATATTCCACGAAAAAAATAAATTAGAAACCCCAAGATTCCCAATCCGTACCAGTACAGTGAAGAAGAGTATATGAGCATAAGATGCATCGCATCTGAATGAGGAACTGACTAATAAAAATAAGTGATGGGCATTTCCAACCCCCTAGAAATATGCCAGCAGATGCCTCTTTTTGAACTATATTAAATACCAAAACATTTCAATTGTGAACTCGCCGCAATGTAGATCCAAACGACTATTTCAGCTTCATTCTGTAGTTTGTTATTGTACGTGTTTGTCAATAAGACGGTAGGATTGTAGTCAACTGTAGAGTGAGGAAACAGCACATACCTTCCACCGAATAACTGTTGCTTAGTTCATGCGTTCATGAAAGACTTTTGGTTATGGGGGAGAAAAGCAATTCATTCGGTGGATATCATAGTGCGTGTTTCACGTGACTTGTAGACAGGAGAGGTCCGTTTCCAGACTTATGGAGCTTGTAACCAGTTCAGATGCATTTTACGATCACAAAGTAATACCAGCATAAGCAAACTGTTCTTACGAGTTGATCACGGATTCATGTCAGTTAGAGAACCATTGAAAACCAGGGAAAACTGGACAGCTGTTTCACCCTATTTTGGGAGTCATCTTCAGTACGCACGCATTGGGGTTCTAACCCCAAGACCTTCCGATTACAAGGCAGTCTCGCATAGCTATCAATCACTTAATCAGGTCCCAGTGACTGGAAGGTATGCGAGATTGAATTGTAATCGGAAGGACTTGGGTTAGGACCCCAGTGGGTGCCTACCACCGATGATTCCTAAAATAGGATGAAACGGCTGTCCAGTACTCCCTGGTTTTCAATGGTTCTCTAAATGAAATGAACCCGTTATCAACACGTAAAAGAGAAATCTAAACCTTACAAACCAACAATAGAAAATAAACAACTGATTAATTTCGTTGTATATGGTACATTTGTTATACCGATGAAATTGGAGTGAAGCAGAATACGAGGGCAAACATGCTGGACATTGGCTTCATTTGGCTGTGTATGGACTGTCCTTCATGACACCATGCTTTCTATTGACATGATAAGCTTTTTCTATCCATTTAAAATTAGTGATTTCTATGATGAGTAGTCCCACGTCTCCGTCAAGGATTGAATGAGGGCCAACTAGTTCTCTGGGTAGGGAGGAAATGGCCTATGTTTTCTAATTCCCATTTATTCGTTGTATGCATTAATCATACTCATAGGGGACTTATGGACTCTGTTCGAAATCAGATGTACCAATGCAAGCTGAATGACATTTCTCATAACTGCACGGTTTTACTTGATCGGAAAGGAGGATAACTGCACCAAATATCTTTTACTATAATTATAGGCGCGCGGCGTACTTGCTTACTTAACAAGTGCTGGTTATTGATTGGAAAAATTTATTTTCTGTTTGACTATTCTAATGCCATCTTGATCGTCCGTTCGGCGCCTACTTTGAGTTTCGGGGCTGTAGGTCGCGTAATCGGGCTATCCGCCTTCAATAACGCTATATTGGCACACAAAATTGGTCTTTATACAACTTCGGAACAATGACAGACGATATAGACGTTGAGGCCATGCTTGAGGATCACTATGCTCGAGAGGTAGGTCTGACTAGTCATCAGTTTAGGGTCCCTTGGCTTGTAATTAATGATGTTACGCGATTTTGACTGAAGTTCTTTATGTTTTGTTAGGATACTCTGGGTCTGCGATCATCGTTGACGTCGTTGTGGACGTCTGGCCCTTTTCTACAACTGTAGTTATCAATTGATTATTTCGGTATGTTTGACGAAAGTATTTATTTTGCTGCCTGTCTTTTTTATCCCCTTCCACCTCCTGAATCTGCTAATGTTGTCGCTCAATAGGGCTATTCAAAGTCAAATGGTCACCGAAGACGTGGTCGGTCGCGTTCCAGGGATCGCAGCAGAAGGTAGAATTTCCGTGATCTTGATTATTTCCCCAGACACCGCTCACGCAGCAGAAGCAGAGAACACCGACGGGACAAAAAGTATGATCCTGATCGAGGACGGCACGAGCGCCGTCACAGTTCACGTGACCGTGACCGACATCGGTCAGGAAGAGATGGGGAACACAAGTCTTCTCGGAGTGAAAGACGTCACAAGTCGTAAGTTGCCCTGTGTTTCAATCGAGTTTACTTTTTCAGTCCTGAACTCACTCCAGAGGAGAGGGATGCAAGGACAGTTTTTGTATGGCAACTTTCTGCTCGTATTCGACAGAGAGACTTAGAAGATTTCTTCACTTCTGTTGGTAAGATCAGAGACGTGCGTTTGATAATGGATAACAAAACAAAGAGATCAAAAGGAATAGCCTATGTTGAGTTTCGTGAAGTAGAGTCGGCGCAGTTAGCCCTTGGACTTACTGGCACTCGGTTGTTGGGTGTCCCCATACAAATTCAGCAGAGCCACGCTGAGAAAAATCGAGTTAATGCCACTCCCTCACTACCTCGTCCAACTCAACAGAACAGAGGCCCCATGAAGCTGTATATAGGATCTCTGCATTATAACATAACGGAAGAAATGCTGAAAGGCATCTTTGAACCATTTGGGAAAATCGAGGATATAAAGTTGATCAAGGATCCCACCACGAACCGTTCTCAGGGTTATGGGTTTGTAACCTATGTGAATAGTGATGATGCCAGGAAGGCATTAGATCAACTAAATGGATTCGAGCTGGCAGGGCGACCGATGAAGGTGAGTTAGAAATATATTCTAGACTCTAAATTTCAGGTAAATCATGTGACGGAACGTAGTGAGTATGCTTGCCTTAGTGCTCTGGACAATGATGAAGCAGATCGTGCCGGCGTGGACCTAGGCACAACAGGCAGATTGGCTCTAATGGCAAAACTCGCCGAAGGTACTGGCTTAGAAATCCCGAAAGCAGCTCTAGCTCAACTACACATTGGTCAAAATAACCCCATTTTGGGGTCAGCAGGCAGTGTCAGCTCGTCATCTGCTATCGCTCCCCCTGTTTGCACTCAGTGCTTTATGCTCTCCAATATGTTCGATCCTCACGTGGCTACCCATATGGTTTTCGAAGAAATACGAGACGACGTAATAGAGGAATGTACGAAATTGGGTGGGTGTCTTCACATTTTCGTGGATCGTACTAGTGCTCAGGGAAATGTTTATGTCAAGTGTCCTAGCATTGCAGTTGCCACTCAGTGTGTAAACATGTTACACGGTCGGTACTTTTCCGGTCGGTTGATCACAGCAGCCTATGTTCCTTTAATTAACTACCACCAGTTATTTCCTGATTCAGTGACAGCAAAAACACTGTTGCATCCTTCAAACTGAATATAGATTTGTAAATAGTATGAATATCTGTTGACCACTGCATTTGTCAATATATACACATCAATCAGCATTTCTTTCTTTGATTCGTTCAGTGGAACTTTCCGGGTTTGCGAGTTTAATTCGGTATGTCACATGTGCGTAGCTATTCTTATGAATTGTGACAGAGCGACAGATCCAACTGTGTAATCATCGATGTATGGATAGCTGTTGACATAACTTTGCGATTATTACGTACTTTTCTTGTTAAGGCCTAGGTTTTTGGGATCCTACAACCTTTATCCGGGGCACTCCATAATGGTTAAGATTTTATTTTGATAAATCAAGTTGATGTGATTATGAGCAATAGTTTGTGCTCGAAACGTCATCAGTTAATATAACTGTACAACACTGTGATTTATCAAAATAAAATCTTAACCATTATGGAGTTATACTCTACCACAGTGCCCAAGTTTTATCCGGGGCAAGTCGACTTTCGTCAGTGTAAGTTAATAGGATGCTGAATGCGACCACCAAGTCAAAATCGCCCACGTATCCACTCAGGTTGGTCGAAGCGTCACTTTGAGTGTCACCTGTATGTTGACAAACATCAGTCCAAAAAGGCATCACTTCAAGAACAGCTTCTCGGCGTTCTTGTCAGGTACGTTCATGCACATTTAGTCATTTGCTAATTAGCTGTTTATAAATCTGTTAAAATGAAGTCAAAGACTTAATCATAAGGAAAGAACTTGGGTAATTTGTGTAAGTAAGAATCTATACTTTAAGGTCTCGAGTTCCGTATTCACAATAAGTAAGAAAAGCCCATCGTTGTTTCTGCTACAATAAGATCTTTTCCTTGAGTGGTTGAACTTGACTAGTTGATAAACTGTTACAAGGCTAGTTACATCCACAAAGTCTGACTTTTTAGTGTCGCGTAATGATAGTTGAGAAGTTAGTTTGCAAATAAACTTCACCTTTGGTTTCTGTGGGGCAGTTTTGACGGGGAATTTCTATTCTAAATTATTTGTTTTGCTTACTTAAATGTTCGTTATATTACTCATCCTATTAGGCATTACTCAGTTTATTGAGACTGTTCATAGACGTTTGCAAGAAATAGCAATCGCTTGAATATTAGCTTAGATGTGGTAGGGCAACTTCCGCAATCCCCTCCGGATATCTGAAGAGTGAGTTACTAAAGGTTATGTGTTAAGACAGGATGCTTTATCTCCTTATTTGTCTTGATTCATGTTCATTTCCCGCATTTAGGTCAGTTCACTTTCTGTGATCTGGTATGTTTAAATTCTTCTTAGTAGCCAACGCTTAGTACTGTCTGCGGATACTTCGCATGGCCTCCGCTATGTTGCCAACTACAACTGTTCAAGCAAAAGTGGCTGAACTATGAAAGTACTACATTTGTGTTGTAAGAACAACTGCTGAGCAGGAGAAAGTAGTCTGTTACTTCCAGTTTGCGATGAAATGATGGTGCACCCTGGCTACCACTCGTTAGGTCGAAACATTGAGCAGCTCATATCATCAAAGGGGCTGTTGAAGATATATAAGGGATCAGGATCCATGTTTATAGCACAACGGATGGCGAGGTTGGTTTCAATATTGACCAAAAGCACAAAGGTTATTCTTTACATTAACCCACTATTTGTTACACTATGGCTGGATTGTGAACGCCTTAAGGTTGGTCAGATGAACGTTGATGCTAAAATGTAACAACTATCCTCGAGGTGACTTCTCTACATGGATTCAGGGTTCTTGTTTGAGGTTAACTTAAGCAGGGTTCGTTGTGTAAGTTCGTATGAAAATTCCAATGATATGAATGAATTCGCAATCTGTTTTGTGGATTTTTATTAGTTGCTCACTAATCGCGCTCTCCATCTTCGTCTTTCATATATGTAGTGCACAAGTTTGTTGGTTTTAAACTGTACTTGGAATAAGTCTGATCCTGCATCTGGCACTGAATAGTATCAGTCACTATCATAATCGTGGTTTATTTGAGATATTTCGTTCTCCGAGGGATGGTTCGATTTACGAAGAATGGTTTACTCAATTCTTGATTGCAATCACACAGGCTTTTGTGTTCCTAAGAATTCCAAACTTTGATGTTGTTCTGTTTGGTTCTTACTCGTCGATTGTTCATTTTCGATTATTCCCAACCTACCTTACTTGTGCGCTCGTCTCATTGTCGTTGTAACCGATTATTTCAGCTTCATTCTGTAGTTTGTTATTGTACGTGTTTGTCAATAAGACGGTAGGATTGTAGTCAACTGTAGAGTGAGGAAACAGCACATACCTTCCACCGAATAACTGTTGCTTAGTTCATGCGTTCATGAAAGACTTTTGGTTATGGGGGAGAAAAGCAATTCATTCGGTGGATATCATAGTGCGTGTTTCACGTGACTTGTAGACAGGAGAGGTCCGTTTCCAGACTTATGGAGCTTGTAACCAGTTCAGATACATTTTACGATCACAAAGTAATACCAGCATAAGCAAACTGTTCTTACGAGTTGATCACGGATTCATGTCAGTTAGAGAACCATTGAAAACCAGGGAAAACTGGACAGCTGTTTCACCCTATTTTGGGAGTCATCTTCAGTACGCACGCATTGGGGTTCTAACCCCAAGACCTTCCGATTACAAGGCAGTCTCGCATAGCTATCAATCACTTAATCAGGTCCCAGTGACTGGAAGGTATGCGAGATTGAATTGTAATCGGAAGGACTTGGGTTAGGACCCCAGTGGGTGCCTACCACCGATGATTCCTAAAATAGGATGAAACGGCTGTCCAGTACTCCCTGGTTTTCAATGGTTCTCTAAATGAAATGAACCCGTTATCAACACGTAAAAGAGAAATCTAAACCTTACAAACCAACAATAGAAAATAAACAACTGATTAATTTCGTTGTATATGGTACATTTGTTATACCGATGAAATTGGAGTGAAGCAGAATACGAGGGCAAACATGCTGGACATTGGCTTCATTTGGCTGTGTATGGACTGTCCTTCATGACACCATGCTTTCTATTGACATGATAAGCTTTTTCTATCCATTTAAAATTAGTGATTTCTATGATGAGTAGTCCCACGTCTCCGTCAAGGATTGAATGAGGGCCAACTAGTTCTCTGGGTAGGGAGGAAATGGCCTATGTTTTCTAATTCCCATTTATTCGTTGTATGCATTAATCATACTCCAATGAAGTTTGTGAATTGATTGTCTTCACTGGTTACTGATTCATGGAGATGCTTCATGGGGAACCAAGACTAAGATATTTCGCTTCATATATAAATTTAAAATTAGTTCACGTGATTTAAATTGAATGAGGTGTTTCAGGTTTGTGTAATTGATCAAATAAATATATAATTGTATTTCAGTGGTATACACACAATGGCAATTTTTTTGTTTTCTTTATTGTAAACAAAGCAATTCCAATTGATACTGTGAACACGGGCAGTAATTTTGCTGGAAATATTACCGAAAACGAAAACTTATGATTGTGTTTAAACCATTGAAATATAGTTTTACTTTATTTGATGGAGATGCTAATAGGTATTCGTCAGCTTTTCTGTTTGATGAGCTTAGTGTTTGAGGGAAAACTGTTTCTGACAATATTCAAGCATATTGTTGTTTTTATTCGAAGACAGAAATTATGGAGAATCTTATACAGCGGGATTTAGTTATAGCCCAATTGTTTATAAGCAGAAATTCTACTCAGAAATTATGTCAGGGCACAGAGAATCTTTGCAGCTACTGCTACTGGCTGGAGGATGCTTCTGTTGATGGAGAACAAGAAGTATGTAATCTTAAAAACAGCAGAGAATTAAGGCATTAGAATGATTCAAATCCGATATTCTAAGTGTGGCTTTATTGGATATCCCCGCAAATTGTAGCGTTGATGTAATGCTTTAGTGACAAGTGGTATTTGTACATAAGAATTTCACACTAAATACTTTGTCTGACGTACATAGTATCGACGGCATAATGTACTTAAACTGCGGATACAGAGGGCTAGTTTCGCATATGACAGTTTACGCCGTCTCTAGTGTAGACGTGATATCCGGCTGGCTATCGACTAGTGGGTGTGTGTACTGTTCAGCAGTCCGCTTCTTTATGGCTAGCTGTGAGACCTGGCCATTGAGAGTGGAAGACATGTAAAGGCTGGCTAGTTGTCTTTCATCATAGGTGTCTGCGTTCTGTCTCCCGTGTGAAGTGGTATAATAGGGTCAGCAATATTGAGGTTAGGCGTTGAGTGCCAGGTAAAGAGGGGAAATTAATAGGCGAGGCTGTGAAGCTACTGAGATGGTTAGGACATGTGTTACGTATGCTTAGCCATCGCTTTCCTCGGCGGGCAATGTTAGCTGACATTGGGTCAGGCCGGGAAAGAGCTGGCGGCGGTCAAACCAAAACATGTCACCAGTCAATGAAATCCACAACATTTAGTTTAAGCCACGTAGGAAGGTGTAGACTTCTTGACTAGTGGGGGTCCTCGGTATGGTAAAAGACAGTGGCTGGAGATAATTGGTGATATGGCTACAAATCGTCGTTGTCACTGATGGCGCAGATGCATTCGCTCTTTGTGATTTATCATATCCAATAAAATTCTATTTTTATCCCATAATAATATTCTGTTTGCCTCATATTCCTGTTCATTGTCTCTGTTTTGTATCTCTCTTACTCTTGTCTTGCTTTGAGTGCATCATGATGGGAGCGTGCCAGCTCGAACTGCTGCACGTCTGTGCAAAGTTCTTCGTTGAAACCAGTCAGTCACATTATATCTGATCGGGAGTTTGAAGTGGATGAAGTATATGTTTTGCAATAGGCAGGATGTTCATCAAGTTTTGTCGGAAAGTCGAAATTTGTTTTCAGGAAGAATCCGGAGATAGGATTTTTTCAAGAGTAGTCATATGAATGTTTCTAGTAGTGGTTTAGCTGGTTGTAGCTTCTGTTTTTGGCGTTCAAAATAAATATTGCTTGCTCATAATCGAAATCCATTGCTTCGAATATTTCGCCTGAAGGATCCAAGCATTTTGGCATTGTCATTACTCGCCGCGTACTTCGACACTCCGGACTATTGTTAAAGTATGATT